TTTCTGAGTTAGCTTCAGTAATTACTTCCTCCAAACCATCGATGTGTCTTTTAAAACCCATTCTGACACATCTGTGCACATCAGCAGGAAATGTCAGCTTCCACAGCAAAAGAATACAAAACACACTTACTAGGTCTCATCTTAGCTATCAGAGGCTTTAACATCAGATTTAGTAAAGAACACAAGGACATAGCATGCGAAGTACAATCAGATCATATTAACCTCGGTTACTTTCTCATTACAGATGAATTAACTAAGTCATGCTTCAAATTAATGACAGTAAATGAACTATGCATTTATTAATTAATTTTAAATACAATGGAGTAAATATTAAAAAAATTGCTGTGCTGATCAAAACAGTATTTCAGAGTATTCTGTGCCACACACTTTGTTATAGCTTCACCAATAAAATTGTGATATTTGATCATTTACATATTTCCATCTTTAAATTGTTCTGATTCAGTCATTTTTACTTTTATGTTCTTGTTCTAAACTGAACTGCAGCGAAACCAAAGGCTGAACTGAGAGCTGATAGGACAGCTGTTCCAGTAGGGGGCAGTGTGACCCTGACCTGCTCTGTGAACCTATCATCACCATCATCATCATCATCATCATCATCATCTGGATGGAAATACTACTGGTACAGAGATTGGAAATCTTATCAACCTGTGACAAATGGACAAATCAGTGTCTCAGAGGGAGGACGCTACAGCTGCAGAGGAGGAAAAGGAGAACCAGTTTACTACACAGAGTACAGTGAGTCTGTCAGGATTGACACAACTGGTGAGTTCAAACTTTAAATTTCCCACAAAGCACTACATCTGATGGTAATTGAACCTTTTGTCTTTCATGTGTTTTTATTGTACTTTGTTGAACATTAACAGTCTCAAACAGGCCTGTTGTGACTCTGTATCCAAACTGGTCTGAGATATACAAAGGAGAGACGATCACTGTGAGATGTGAGATCCATGGAGGAGACACTGAGTGGGATTATGAGTGGGAAACAAACAGCATCAGAAAACCTCCAAATCAAAATGAACACAGGATTGGATCTGCTTCATCATTCAACAGTGGAAAATATCGCTGTAAGGGCAGAATGAAAAGTTCACAGCATGAAACAACAGAGTGGAGTGATTCAGTCACACTGACAGTTTCT